TTTGCTTTCTTTTACAATCACACGCCACTTAGCCATTGCTAAGTCTTTAAGGTCTTATATGCTACTTAAGTCTAAAAACCCAAGAAGGCACCATCAAAACTTCACCATCTTTTTCTGCCTCAAAGTAAAAAGCCTTCATGCGGTCCTTCAAACACATACCACTTCCCCAGCAAGACACAGGAACTGCTGAAAAACACCAATTTCTTACCCAATCATTTCTGCCAGTAAGCACAAACCTTAGAGAAGAAATGGAAGCACTGCATTCCTCAGCCCTTTTCAGAAGCCCTCAACTACTCAGCATCTTCCAGGGGAGTTTCAGCTCTGTACAACTCCACCGGTGACAGAAAACATTTAAACAACCTAAGCAGAGAATCCTGGAATGTGGGTACTGGACAGGAGCTCAAAGCTCATGTGTCCAGTCCTCTTCATTTTACACAAGAAAGAGGCAGGTCGAGGTACAATCTCTAAAAATCATTTACTCCCTTTCACATCCATGTATGTCACTGCTCTTTTCACCAAAACTGATTCGATAGGGCTATCAGACCTGCTGCACAGATTCTCAAAACAGAGAGCTGCAAGATAATTAGATCTTTGTACCTCTCTGTTGGCCTCATTTTGTTTTGATCTTTCTGTAAAGCCTAAAAGAGAAAAGGTATCAAAAAACTACCAGGGCAATGGGTTGTTCCACCATCCACCAATGCCCAAGGTACAACTTGCATGGAAGGCATATCCACTTAAATTATGAAAGCACAGGTGCCTTTGAGGCATAAGTCTACCTTGAGGAATTAATCCTGCAAATACATTCATGTAAACCAACTATCGTTTGTGCCAGCAAAACCCCTAGTGCGATCCAGCCAGCATTTATCAGTGTGGGCTAGCTGAATTAACCAAGGCATATAAGACCCAATATTATAAAGTTCCAAGAAACCAAAGCGTAATGCGGGAAGTTCTTTGTTAAGTCATGAGAAAATATCTCCAAAAGGTTTTGTCACAGGAAAATGCACAATTATTTATTTGCATTTTTAAAAAGAGGAAGTTGAGCACATATGTAGTAGTTTGGTAGTAAGTGCATGAACTACGTCTGGGAAGCTGTGCCACAGACTAGCAACAGTAACTTGGCTCCAGGAAGAGAAAGTGAGGGGCCAGTGCAAGGGCCTGGGAAAGAGGCTTCCCTCTAGATAGCCTTTCCATCTTCTGATGTATTGTTTGTCATGTTTATTTTTGTTTTTTTCCCATTGTAGGTTTTTCAGTTTTTATTTATTAGTTCATGTCTGTATTACCTAATGATTATACTCCTTGTGCGCAGTTGGCACATGTATATAACACATTCTACCTTTCAATTTCTGAATCAGAAGAATATATTACCTACTCAGTAAGTAATTTTTAAAAAATGTTTAGAAACTTGACATTCTAAGAAAGGATAAAAGTAGATAACAGGCATTTCTCCTATGACTTTATGTGGCCAAAAAAAATGCTGGCAAACCCAACTGTGGCTCCCCAAATTCTGACCTCTGAAACCCAAGTCGCAGAACCCCTGCCCCACAGACAAACCTAGATGTCTATAGCACTGACTCTCTAGGCCCTTCCTTCTTGAGCTGGAAGGGGCCCACGAACTAGCTATATTCACAAGCCCTTCATTAACAATTAACAGATCAGCTTTTGCTGAATCACTTGGTTGTTTACTTAGAAAGGTATGTTTATTAACAGAGCATGGTTTCTTGACAACTACCAGTTTGCTGAAATCTCTGTTTTAACACTGCAATGCCAGGAACGCAACTGGTGCTGTTAGTGATGACCACACGACAGGTTGGCTAGTTAGATATATGAAAGGATGAATTTCAACATTATTACTTAATGTTCATGCAGCTGTGGTGCCTAGACAGTGCTAAGTGGCCAGCATATGGTGTTAGGCCATTCTCCAGCTAAACACCAGCACCTCTGGAGTGCTTCTATGGGATAGGAAGATTTGAGTTCCTGACTCCAATTTTATTTTAGCACTTGGATTTCACAGTCTACTTTTATTAGTTAATCAATAATGCACTACAGCTACACTCCAATTCTGTTCAGGTACAAACAAAGGCAACGTAAACTCTGTTTTCACAAAGTCTACACGTGAATTCCATATAGAGAAGCCAGGGGCACAGGCACAAATCGGCCTGTCTATAGCTCCAGGCAAAATCTACTGCTCACTGCCTCACACCCGCCTAATAAAATGTGTGGGGACTCACACTGCCAGGCTGAACCACAAATACAGCCAAAACATGGTATTCCCAAGCAAAGTGCCACCGGGCCTTGCTCATGAAACTATTTGGGAATTACGACATCACATTATAGCATAGCAGGATGACACTAAGCCACCCATGATATGGCTTAATTCACATGGAAATGTTACACAATAATTACTTTTTTTTTTTCTTTTGTACGGGGGACCAAACTCAGGGCCTTGTGCTTGGCAGGCAGGCACAGCACCACTAAGCTACCTCCCCGGCCCTGACAATTACATTTCTCTAAAATAGTTTTGTTTTTTTTGTTTTTCTGAAGAAGCAAAAAATGTAATAAAGCAGTCAGGTGGAAAGTTGTGCCTCTGCAAAAATAAGAAAAGTTACCCAGAGGAAGCTTACTTCTTACTCTTGAGTGGGTGGCATTCATGCAGGAGAAACGTTTTGATGCAAAGTTATTCCCAGCCAGTCACCTACACACGTGTCTGGAGGTTTGGTGCTCTATTCACAAAATATTTGGATGACTAAATATTACCGTCAGCTTCCAAACTGGTATTTTGAAATATTCATGTTTGCACTCCTAATTTTAACACCAATGGAAAACATCAGATAGGTTATATGAAATCCTATACACCCTGCCACACACACAATGGAGACTGAACTCAGAACCTTGCGCTTGTGAGCTAAATCCCTGGCCCTGAGAGCCTATACATGTTTAAGCATTAATTTAAAAAAAAAAATTAACGCATCAATCAGTGGATTCTCATGATTGTTTTTTAATTGAAAAATTTGAGACATCCCACCAAAAATCCCTACTTACATCTGTATGGTAAGGATCTTTCCAGTCTAATTTTGCACTGAAGTGTCCCTTTACAATTTGGTTCCTCAAATGTATCCACTAAGATCATATAACTACAGGAATAAATACATTCAGACAAGTCATAAAAGAAACAGGACCCAGCAGATGAAAAATCTGTTGAAAGTTTCAGAGGGGGCTCAGGGTGTAGCTCAGTATAATATGAGCTTAGCATATGTGATGCCCTGAGTCCCACCCTCAGCATCAAAAAATTAACTAGATAAAAAATATGAAAAATTTAAACCAGACTGGTTTATATGAGAACTCTAAAAATGAATGAGGTAACAAAAGCTTTGAAGTTTAACATGAAAAATTAGGAAGTAATTAGTTTCTCCTCTCTCAACAAACAAGCTCAGAAGATAAAGTCTTCTCAGAGCTAGAGAAAGGAAACTGCCTTAGGAAATCAATGCCAGCTCTTTTCCTCTTCCTGGGAAGACAAAGCTCAGGGATTCTATCATCACAGACTTTCCAGCTAAGATACTGGATCTACTTCAACAAAACAGACTGAAGCAGCAAGGAGAGGTGCCTTCTCTCAGACAGAACACACCAAGCTGTGGGTACTTTCTGCTGCATATTAGTCTTCCTGGATGGAGAATGTGACTGGAATCCGAGATCTTCAATTCTTGAGTGCTCACTAGGTTACAAAAATAATGGTACCCATACAAATGAGACATGATCTTACAGGTGAAATACACAGGGTGAATAGGATGTAAAAAGCACCACCAGAGACCAAAATCCAACTATGAGTTGTACAAATAACAGAAAGCACCTGGTGAGAATTAACTCTCATGTGCCAGGCACTGATGCTTAAAGCTTATAACTTTACATACACTGTTTCATTTAATCCTACAACTTTATGAAGCAAATACCGTCAGGAATTCCATTTCACAAATGAGGAAATAGGGTTAAGCAGCCTGCCTAAAGTTACAGAGTGGTACATGATCAGGCTGGGCCATGTGCACCTGAAGCCTGGTGCTTCTCAGATTCACACTACTGTAATGTGGTAAGGGGTCTCCTCGTTCCTTGGGAGAAGGATGTCATCAAAGGAGACTGTGGCTCAGGGATATTCTTTTCCAGGAATCCCACCAATTACTAGCTGGGTTAGGAGCAGGCAAATAGGAAAAAATAGAAAACCAAACAATAACTTCTTATCTCTCTCTCTCCCCTGATCCCATCTGAAAAGAAACAGAGTTCTATAAATCAGCTTTAAGACTAAGTACTTGGCCTACAGTCAGGAGAGTAATAACCTAGAGTGATAAAATTCAGTCATCAAAGAATTTCAATTAAAAACTTGTCTCTGCACAGATTATCAGAAGGCACTTTTATGCACTGTTGGTGAAAATGTAAAATTTGATGCAATCTTTTTAGAGTGCAGTTTGGCAACATTAGTCAGCATCTTAATGCACATCCTACAGTGACTACACAAGGACTTTCACAAGGTGCCATATGCACTGTAGCACTGTCTGTGATAGCCAGAGGGATGAAAGCAGATGAAACACTACCAGGGAGGGGGCTGACTAAATAGGGTTGCGACCACACATTGGAATCCTAGGGGGGGCAGCTTGGCACCTGCTGCCACAGGATACTCTCCAAGGCATACTACTCAGTGAAAATGTTGGACAAGAAGAGTATGTGTCTATGGTCTCACTTCTACAAAGGTATATTCTTAGCACACAAATGTACTTACATATGCATTAAAATTTTCTACATGGATAGTTACAAATTGATAGTTTCTTCTGCGCAGTGCGGACTGGGGAAAAAGGACGAAGAAGGAAACAATCACATTTTATTTTAAGTCCTTCTGAAGTGTTTATGCATATGCCGCCTAGGTTCATCTGAAAAAAAAAATCAGTTTTTCAACTGCCTTCTAAAAAATGAAAATTTGGGGGGGGTTCAGTTAATTGTGCATCTTGCTATTTCTGTACCTTGTTTCCTTCATACACCCATCCCAGGCTCTTCACACCAAAAGCAACGTGGTTGGCGGAGACATCTAGACAGGTGACTGGCTGGCCGTAGACATAATGGAGGGTTCTGGCTGAGTCTTCGGCTTTTAGCAGGTACACCAGATCTCCAGCGGTGGCTACTGCCACAGGGTACCTTCCAGTATCTGGGACTATTTCAAGGTAATCAACCTGTTAAAGGATAAGAGTTATTTAGTCCTACTAGTCATCCTGATAGTCAAATATATCAAATTCCTCCTACACATAAATGACAAGACGATCAACCCAAAAGAAAAGATGGACAAAAAGACTGTTTACTGGAAAGAAAGCAAACCGCTCTTGCCCAAATGAAAGATGCTCATCCTAAGAGAAACACAGTACACTGCTATAAAGAAAAATACAAAATGAAAATTCATTTGAGATACTATTTTCTATCTATCATATCGGTAAACGTGAAGAGGTCCGAGAACACACTGGGCTGGAAGTGAAGCAGGGTCACCCACGTTTAGGGATCCTATTACTGTTGATGGGGTTAAAATCTGGTCCAGCTGCGATTACGGGAAATCTTGCAACACTTATCAAAATGTCAGATACACACATGCTTACAAACAAATATACATGTATACGAAAGGGTTGTGACCAAGGTTATTCAGTGTATTCACTCATCAGTACTATTCTGTCAGTTAAAAACTGGCAAAACCAAAACACCCATTTAAAACTAAATTAGCTCAAGCCGGGCGTGGTGGCGCACTCCTGTAATCCCAGCACTCGGGAGGCTGAGGCAGGAGGATCGCTGTGAGTTCGAGACCAGCCTGGGCTACATAGTGAGTTCCAGGTCAATCTCAACTACATAGTGAGACCCTGTCTCAAAAAAACCAAAAAAAAAAAAAACCTAAATTAGCTCAAAGTACCTTTATATGTTGAAATACCATATGGTCACTGAAAAAAGCATGAAGAAAGTCTTTATAAAATGATACAAATGGATAATCTCTAAGATAATTTTGGGGAAGCAAGAAGGCAAGAAGGCAAGATGAGGGTTCCCAGTGTGCTGACATGTGTGAAAGATGGGGCGGGAGAGGAATATTCAACTCGCACATGTGCAGATCTCCTAACAACAGCTGCCTTGAGGAAATGCGCTGCAGGATGGGGCAGAAGGAGGAGTCCCCATTATTGGCCTTACTGTGTTTTAAAATGTTTGAATCATGGAGGTACAACAGCTATTTTTAAAAAGTTTTATTTTTCACAAAAGACTCAAAAAAAATTCACTCGTTCCAAATTAGCACACCCATAGTTTAATAAGTTTGTGAAAATATTAAAACTATGTTGCCAAAAAGTTGAAAATACCTGCGCTCTCTGCTATCTCTGGGTTTCCATGTCAGGCAATGATCCTCCAGGGGCAGGAAGCCCACTGCACAGCACTGCAGTGCTCCCGACCCCACCATTGCTAACACTTTCTCTAATTTGCATGCGTTGAGGAGCACCTTTAAAAAATAATTTGCTTTTCTCTATCCATAAGAGGCACAGTTCTCCCTAGCGCAGTTTATATAAGGTCCTTGAGTAAATGGTGAGAGCATAAATGCTGAAGGTGAGGCACACCATGTAATTATGAAAATCCATGGTGTAAAAGGACACCATTGCCCTGACAATAAGCCAGACAAGTTCAAAAGCCTAGTCCTGAAGACCGTCCAGAGGAGCTTGAAAGAGAGTAAACATCCCGGGGACTCTGCTAATCTTTGGGCCCAACCACGTGAGAGGCAGCCCAACATCCCCGGCCGTAGGTCCATCACGAAGGACAGGCGCTCTAGGCCAGTGCTGCAAACCTGGGAATGCTGCCACTGCTATTCAGGGACAGTATCTGGGGAAGCCAAACACATTCAGCTCTGCAGGCCAGGGGGTGCCTTTTCCAGGGATACTCAGTGCCTTTGGTGCAGGTCCTCAGCCAGCGTAAGAAGTAATACATAAAAAGTGTTATAAAACATGCCTCCAGCATTGGCTACTTGCTTCCTCTCTCTGCGAAAACTTACTTATTTTCCCAAAGTGGACATCCTCAGTTGGCTGTTTAACTTCATCTTGAAGTTGGACTTGTGACAGGCCAAGGGGCTCAGACTGACAGCGGTTGTGCCATTTGCTGGGAGCTATAAACTACTTCAAAAAGCTTCCAGTCTGTGCCAAGATGTTACCTTATTGCCAAGGCAGGATTTACACTTTACAGGGGGACTCGTATCTTAAGTAATTGTCTCAGTTCATATAATTACCACTGGCCTATAATGTTCTTTAGCCAGAGACCACATAATACACACTACAGTAGTTTTGAGAAAAAACAGATATAGCGCACTTCCACATTTTTCTAATAAAACCCTGAGACAAGATGAGAGGAGGTGGCAGTTTGAGGGGACCCTAAACACAGACTGCAGATATTCAATGTTTAAAGCACCAAGAAGCTCGGGGAGGTGAAGTGGTGATGCCACGGCTTTTTAAGTTACTGAAATCTAATATTTCCACCAGGGAATAGAGAGAGAGAAATAAGGATTGGTTCCAGGTCAGGCTAATAATGCATGGTTCAATGTTGGCTTTTCTGCTTACTCTCCTAACTGGTGCCAAAATCAAGTTTTAGATTAAATCCAATTCGGCAAAGACAGATTCAGGCACTACTTACCACTGAATCATCTTCCACCATACAAACACAGAGGTTCACATACAGCAAAGCCCTAAAATGAGTTCTACATAAAGAATTCTTGTGTCAGCAGGCTTCATATACAACATCCTGGAACACAGCTATCCATTTACCACTGACTTAAATCTATGTTCACTCAAAAATTGCTCATCGTTCCGGGTGACACAATCTTGGGATGAAGACAGTGTAGGTTGGGAAACTTTCTTCCATATGGACTGGGTAGACAACACTGAACTCATTTTCACTTACATACTTGGCCAGAAACTGGAGTGAGGCTGAAAGAGGCTGAGAACTACAATGAACACCAGCCCTGAAGTCAGCTCTGGAGTTTGTTTTGTTTTGTGCAGTAGTGGGGAATGTGAGGATCTCACGCATGTTAGGCAGGTGTGACTGAGCTACACTTCAATCCAGCACTGAGGTCTGAATCACATCTTAGCTCTGAAACCTGAGGCAAGTCAATCCACTGCTCTCACATCCCTTGGCTTCTTGGCAAGTGGGGAAAATAATACCACTTATTTCGCAAGGCTGTTGTGGGATTTATGGTTGTAAGATCCATAAGAAGACCGAGGTAAACGGGAGCTGTTAACATCATTATTATTTGTTTGTATTAGACTCAGAGATTCTAAGAAGGAAAAACAAAATGATCAGAATAAGAGCTCACCAGTTTCTGAACTTCAAATTCTGCAGCTATTTGCCAGTACCCCTCCTCATTCGGGGACAACATCACGACGTCAAAAGCAGATGCAGTGGCAACAATGGCACCTTCCCGGCCGAGGGCCAGTGCTTGTATTCGCGCATCATGCTCAAAGCGATGGACAGGACACTTTCCAGTTCTCAGATCCCAAATATGAAGAAATCCTAGGTAAAAAGAAACAATGCAGACAACAATTTTAAATTCACTTCATGTGTACAATTATAAAATAATCCTATTTTTAAAAATTCAGTGAGAAATAGTTATGTGGAGACAGCAGAGTCTGTGGCTATTTGTTTAAATCCAGCCCCACTGCTTGCCAGCTGCAGGACCTGAGGGAGTTATGCCACAGCTGTGAGATGCTTTCCCCACTTGTAAAACCGGAGATGACATTACCTACGGCACAGGACTGCTGGGTGGATTAGACACCAACCGTATAAAATGCTGAGGACAGGCTATTCCTTTCTACCTTTAATTTTTATGTCTTCTACAGTGTCTGCTGTGAATAAAGCATGTTTAATCAGTAATGCTAATTTCTTTGCTCATCAACAAATCATTGTACTTCCTTATAATGTCCTGTTGCCCAGAATAAAGCTCTTCACTTTTCTTTGTATCTTCCTATCTTTCCTTTTTCTTCCTTTGTATTTTCTATGTAAACTGCAAATGCTTTGAAATTAGGTTCTTGCTATAAAGTACCATTCAGCACACATAAAGAGTTAGAAGAAAATAACACATTACGGCCATTTTGCAAGACTTTCAAACTGTCAGTAGGCTAAATAGGTGACTACAAACAAAACCAGAGCTTTCCACGAGTTAAACATTCAAATGTAAAACACAGTGTACTCTTCTAAGAATTATGATAAATTTAGAAGATAAGCTGATTGAAAAAGGCTCTACACCACATTCCCCTGACAAATATTTTAGTAAATTCTTTCCATCCTGACTCAGAGGGAAAAGACGGGCTATAAAAAAATGCCAGTGGCTCTACTCTTTAAATTAGGTGACAGACCTCCCATTCCAAGATGTCTCTTTTTAGCATATGCCTCTTCCAAATACTCTGCACTGCAGCTGTTTTGAGATATCACAACACAGTAAAGAGAAATAAACAACTGCTACTTGTATCAAGATCCCAAGTGTTCACAACTCATTCCTCTCTTCTTGTAAAGAGCTCCCTTCTATCTTGGGAGGAGCATAAACTCATTCTACATAAGAGAAGAAAGAGAAGCTCTGAGTGGCTAAACAAAGGGTCCAAAGCCACTTGATGTTGATTAGGCTGAGCTAGAATTTAGCTAACAAAGTGCAGGATGAGTGGCTGCATTTACAAGTGCATAAAATAACTATGGGCCTGATGAGTAACTGATGCACACCACTAAACTCGCCCATATTCTGCCAAGTGTGGAAGCCATTTAACCACAACTGATTCTAAGCACACATGGAGTTTATCTATAAACACATTTTTCATTATTAATCAAGTCTTGGTTTTGTGGCTTCACTTTTCCAACAGAACTGGATGCAATAAAATACATTTTACAACAAAGATGAGTCTCACAGAGCTATCCTGAGAAGGGTCTTTTTGGAAAACAAATAAACAAAACAAAACACCCTTGGGCTCCATTAGTGGAGTGGTCAGATTCTCCTCTCTGTGCTACTGCACTATCTTTTTCAGTTTCTGCACCTCAGAAAGAGTATGAACAATGGGCAGGTCCTCACTTGCAAGGCTGTTGGTGTCACTGCCCAGGCCTCCAACATCACTCTTGATGCATATACATTTGGGACTGTTATGTCTGCTAGGAGAATTGATCCTTTATCATATGTAACGCTTCTCTTTACCCTGGAGAGAATCTTTGCTCTGAAATTCACTGTTTGCTATTGACATAGCTACTCCAGCTTTCCTTAGATTATGTACTGTTAGTAGATGTATCTTTTCATCTTGCTTTGTGTCTTATATTTAAGTAGGTTTCTTGCAGACAGCATATAGTTGGTCTTGCTTTTAACTGGGGTGTTTATACGATTTATATTTAATGTGATTACTAATAAGATTGGTTAAACCTGCTATTTTTCTATTTATTCTAACTGTTCTTTGCTTCTTCCTTCACTTTTTATTTCTTGGGTGGAGTATGTGTTTATTCCATTGTTACTGCTATGTTAGCTTAGGAGCCAAAATTTGTTGTCATTTTACCATAGTGGTTGCTTTAGGATTTTGACATACATCCCTAACTACCACAGCCTGCCTTCCAGGGATACTGGAACACTTCACAGAGTGTAAGAACTTCACATTTACAGCACCACAGTTCCATTTCTTTCCTCCCAGTTTTGTGCTATGGTTGTCATACTTTTTATTTCCATGTTATGTTATAAACCTTACATACACTGTTATTTCTGCATAAGCAAGCAACTATCTTGTAGTGATTTAATAAAAAAGTCATTTCAATTTACCCACATAATTGCCACTTCTGCTCTTTCCAAGATCAAAAACATCGTAAAATCCTGCAAATCTTCAAGTTTTGCAATTTCATTTTGAACTGTGTGGCTGAATATTTGGCCCAAGTGTGCAAGGCACATATAGATACAGTAGCGAACAGGAAGGAGCAATTTTGACTGAAGGCTAATTTTATAACTGATCAATTTATTAGTTAATATAGCTATATCATAATTGCTTTTACAACCTCAAAACTTCAGGAACTTAACAGGGAATACTTGAATTATGAGAATGTTCTATAATTATGTAGTTATCATTTGTATATTTTGCCAAAAAGGCAAAATTATATATTCAACAAGTATTTATTGAGCCCCTGTTTTATGCAAGGCACAGTTTTAAGAATGGGAGATATTAGTGAATAAGATGAAATAAAACAAAAAAATTTCTGACTACATGGAGCTAGCACTCTAGTGACATCTACTAAGCATTCCATCTGGAAGCAGACAAAGAGTAAAAGGATATGATCCCTGTTCTCACAAAACACATACTGTAGCAAAACAAACATCTGACTAAAATGTAAAACACAACGCAACAGAGATACATACAAAGTGTAATGGAAAGTATTATGCAAGCTTGACTTTTTGTCATGTTGTCACACTATTTTCAGATTCCCCAAAAGGAGGAGCTAAGTCTTCAGACATTCAGGGTCCACATTCACCGTGTGACTAGTAAGGAACAGTATAGTCAGTGCCTGTCAAAATCAAAGAAATTAACTTCTGAGATGGATTTGATTCCTAATATTCTATGGACTTACCAGGTGGTAAAATTGTGTCCTTTTCCTCCTCTATTCCCTATTATACTGAATTCACAGTGCTAAATGTTACTGTACATCATTAAAGGCTTGCTGAGCGTTTGTCATGTGTTTCAGCAAAGGAACATTTGGTTGTAAGAAACAGAAATCTCAGTGAAACTAGCCTAAGCACAGAAGTAAAACCCACTGAAAAGACATGGGCTATGTCAACAGAGCCCAAGGGCAGGAAGTGCAGCTGGAGATTATAAAGGATCAGAACCAGGAAGGTATGTGAGAAAGGAAGGCAGGGCTCTGTCTTGCCTGAAGCACAGATGTTGTCTTTAATTCTCTCTACAAGTTTCCTTCTTTTCTCCACAATCCAGCTTCCCTTGTTCTTGAGTAAGAGACTCACTTTGTTAGATTACACGTGAATCTGACTTACAAATGTTCTCCCAGAATGGAACTCAGTGATAGGTTGAGACCTACTGCATATGAACAGCAGCCGGCCCCATCTCACGAGTCTTCTATTCCCAGGCCACAAAGGGCTCCCCATCCCTTGTTTAATCAGCTGAGGCCTAAAGATAAACTCAAATCTTATGAACTTGCCTTCCTCTAGAGTGACTAAGGAGGGACCTCACAGCAAGGACATACCTGTTGTCCACCACAAGCATCCTCCATGTTAGGCCAAGCAAAACAAGAAAGATCCTAGCAAAGGCAAAGGAAGGTTATGTGCAGCTTTTCGGTGATCTAAAAAGCAGATCTTTGTCACCATTTGCTGTACCAGGCATAAGCTTAAGAGCCAAAGCGTAAGAGCCCTCCCTCATTTTCCTGCACATCAGAATGGAAAATATAGCACAAGTTTCTTGAAACAAATCTCAACAGCTGCATAAATATGTTTAATTCTGACACAATAATACTGTTTTACTAATAAGAAATGTGAAAAGGATGCAGACAAAAGAAGAAATTGGGTCTTTCAAAAAATCTGAAAGAAGACAATGAGTGAGGGTCAGAGCCCCAAAGTGGAGGCAGGAGCAGGGCCAGGCAATCCTACCTGCTCCCTGGGCGCAGGACCCTCTGTCCTGATTAGCAGCAGCAGGGCTGAAGGAACTTGGAGTTCACCCTAGACTAGGAACAGTCATTAACAATGACATGAGTAACGAGGGCGGGCCTTTTGAGAAGACATAAAGCCTGCTCAGCAGCTGTGGATGGGCACCCATGCCAGTTTGGAGTGTGCCTCTCCCCCCTCCCAAAGGAGGCCAGCCAGAGTGTGGTAATGAAACCTCGAATAGTGGAAATGGGATCTAAATGAGTTTAAACTGATTTATGTTAGCTTTTGTAAAGATTACTCGGTATCTGGAAAGTGCTACCACTGTGAAATAATGTTGACAATCCTTAAGACCTCCACCTAATGGTACTTACACAGAATATTTATATTCCTCGTCATGGGAACAAGGACCATAATGGATACCATTTTTGTTTTATTAGGGATGCATATTTAAATTAATCTGCTATTTGCCTAAACAATTAGCTGCTTCTGTTTGTGTGCACAAAGCCAAAATCGCAATTACGCTTCCATCAAAAAGATAAGTCCCAACTAAAACTGTCCCAGTGGAGCTGTAAGAGCTCAGGGCAGAACTTTCCAAAATTACTTTTTAGCATAATGGTAATTATGTTAATTGCTTGAAAGGTAAATAACCACTGAACTGGTTTTGGAAAACAACACAATTGGTGTTGCCCCTCCTTTCAATCCTCTCCATGCGCCATAAAATTTAAAACTGGTTAACAGTTTAGAAAGTCATAGACTGGTCACTTCTTGAACTACAAAGTTTGTCTTCTGATCTTTGGTCCCTTCTCGACTAGACTGATTTTTGCCATGATTTATCCTCTTGAGCTTGCCCAATGAACACCTGAAGCTTGGTCTCAGCGTCACAGTGGTTAAATAGGATCAATTAACTTTA